TTAGAAAAAAAAAAAAATAATTGGCACCGGCGCGACGACGTCGCCGAGTAATAATTATATCCCATGTAAGATGGGTGCGAGCGTCTTCCAGGGGAAGACTAAAAATAAACATTCCAGGGACTCTTCTGGAACACTGTCAGGAAATGCATGCAGACAATTTCTTTGACACACGCGCGCACACACGTACACACACTTCACGGCCAAAGGATATGCTTAGGAGCCGTGAATATTTATTTCGGTCCTTTGACGCACTCCAAACCAATCCAATTTGACGACGGATTTGTGTTGCCGCCGCCATCACCACACTTACAGGAAGCCATTATAATAATAGTTTGTTTTTGGTTATTTAGTTTAAAAAATATGTAAAAATACACACACACGTTGTTGTTCACGTGGCTGTGATATGTTATTATTATCGTTGTTCAACAGTTATCCTCTCCAAAATACGTAAAATCCATTTAACACGGTCAGTTGTTATTACCCTGTTATCCGTATAAATTATAATTATTCATACTGCGTATACCATACCATCACACACGATTGCGTATTACATATAGACCCAACACGGTCCGATCAAACGTACGTCATTACGTTGTATATGTGTTTCAAATTGTAGTCGATTTAACGCGGTGAGTACATCGAAATACTGCGATGAATTAATTCCGTGATCTTCGATCCGGAACAGATTATACACACACGCGTGTGCGCGATAATTGCACACTTAAAAATTCGTCGGTTAACGATCCGACGAAGTTTTCGGCAATTATAACCGCCCGATCGCCGCGGTCAGGTATCTACGCCTCTCTCGCATTGTCATCGCTCACACGGTTGTACCGCACTATGAACATACCGAGTTACGCAGGTACAAACACGAGTGGAGTACATGCTTTACATACACCTCGTCAACAGCACACAATGACGGTCCAGAACTCGAGCAATACACCTTACAACAACAATAATAATAATAATAAATCGTTATCTCACGGCGGCCGCGGCTCGTTTTCGTAAATATTACGTGCGGATGGACGATGAGTTACACGGAAAATCGATTGTTATCGGAGGCACCAAGACGAAATAAAAATGATTTCTTTTGCCGCGTACTCAACTGCGGTCGTCCGCGCGCGCAACGGGCATTGTACGCAGTACATTATATGCACTTCTATCATGTGATACACGGCGTAGTGCACACGGCCACGGAGTATATTATGCATGAGCGGCAATTGTAGTTTTTTAAATTGAAAAATTAAATTTGTTTCTATGGTTTTTAACGAGTATACGTGTATAATTATACAGTTTTGGCCGCACGCGTTACACACACACACACGCGCGCGCGCCTTCGTACGTTTTCTGTACATTATAATAACGTGTACGCGCGCATACGCGTCACGATGTGAATCGTGAAATACGTGCGCAGAACGTTGAACTTCACTGCAGAGTAACGGTGGCGATGATGCCTTCGCTTCGTCGTTTGCTCGGATCGCACATGCGTCCATTGTGTCCGAACAGTCAATAGAACCGCGTTATTAACACTGATTTGTCAGGGTGTTCACGTGGACGTCCGATCGCCGATGACTACCGATATATGTGTGTGAACCGCTACAAACACGACAAACATACAGCCTGTATGATACACTGTACATTTGGCCCGCGAAGGTGTTCAATGTGGCCAATTACAATGTTTTTAAAATTAAACAAAATATTGAAAAAAAAAACAGTACAATTATTATAAAATACAATTTTGTTTTTAAATTTATCAATTTTATTTTCGAACATTTTCAAATGGAAATTCAAAGATTTCACCCAGGGGTCGGCAAGTAATTTACATTGGAGTCCTAAAGTTTAAAATAATAAATCAATAAGGTCCAGTGAAAAAAATCTTTTTCAAATCTTTATATTTTAAAAATTGTAATATAAAAATAAAAATAATTATTTGGTTATTACAATTAATTTATATTAAAAATTACAATATTAGAAGTATAAAAATAAAAGTTGACAGGGTCCAGAATATTACCTTCCGCGGTACGGATTCGGACCGCGGTCCGCCAGTTGCCGATATAACTCATACACTTAAAAGAGCGTACTGATTAAATGTGTACTTACAGGTATATTGTATACCAACTATGTGTAACAGAATAACATTATTAGGTTGATATTAATATTATTCGTACTTTAATAGTTGATGGCCTTCTCTAAGATAATTGTTTATCAAAGTGGCCCGTCGAGGAAAAAAGGTTGGATATCCCTGTGATATAGAGTGATTTTTTTAACATGAGAATGGACTGGTACATGAAGATTTGAGAAATTATGAATGATCAATCCGAATTATTGTGATCGGGTATTTGGTTTCCGAGCTTTCAAATGTAATTGGGTATTTACTAATGTAAACCTGTACTGGTGCTTGTTTTATATTGTGGCACAGACTTCCCGAATTGGAATTTGGACATTGGGTGTATTTATGGCATACGAGATATCATTACTCAAATGAATATTTTGACCGAATTATTGGAATAGCTAACAATATTCTTATTATACCATTACACCGTTTTACACACTGATTTTTTATTTTTTTTCAATTTTTAAATTAAACGATGATTAGTTATAATTATACAATTTCAATATTATTAAATTTTCTTTCACAGCATACTGGATGTAAAATACGGCATTATTTTCATTTTTAAATCACAGGTTACTAAATTAATAACGGATTTTGATTTTATTCCGATATTTGGGTAATCCATCGATATCAAAATTGGTATAGATGAAACCATAATATAAGTTATCAGCGGTGTTTTCAAACATACAATAAAAATTCTTTGCATTTTCCTACGACCCAATGGTATGGTTCTCGTTAAAAGAATCGCCTTGTATAATATGAAATATTATACATATATACACGTTAACGGCGTACCACGTACAACGGTAAAAACACAAAAAAACAGTTTTTTTTTATTAATATTTATTTTATTTATTTTTTTTTTTTTACGGTGTATCATTGGCCGACGAATAATATTAAAATAATGTATCGCATATTATACCGAAATCGCGTTCGGGCAGCCACTCCGTGACGGGGATAGTCTCGAGCAGGGGAATGCACTCGCAGGCGAATACAATGGGTCTTGCACCAGAAACGATGCTGCTGCAGCTCGCCGAAAGAACGAAACGCACGATAATAATGGGTCGCCGCCGTCGAGCCGGACCGGTTTCCGTTCGAATTCCGGAAATCGAGATCACGCGTTCTGCACGCGCATCCGAAAAGGTGCAATTACCCGGTGAACTTTTATTGCTTTTTCTCATCTCTCTCAATCGTCGTACAACGCGTGCGACTCATTAGAATATTTACGTGCCCGAATACTATTATTGTATTCTCGGTGCACGCTACGCTCGTCGAAAATACAATTCCCCACAGGGTGGACCGACAGATTATATCTAAAAAATATATATATACACATACCTATATCCCTACTCGAAACGTAACCATTAGCGTATTACAATAATGTGTACTGGAGCGTTGCGCATTTTCCGCAGACGCTACGTAATGGAAATAGAGACATTTTATCTACAAACGGGTCAGATCAATGTACATAACACCATAATACCCTGGCTTTATATTCCTCCCAATGTCATGTATAAGATTTACATTAAAAATAGAATATACGAACCGCTCATGTATGGCGCTGATTATCGTTTAAGCAATCGCAATCACCCTGTGTATATTATATGCGTGTAGCCACGATTCGCTGTAGCCACGGAGGAAAATAGACATTTAATAAATAAGAAGAAAACGCTTTCCCCGGGGCTGAACACGACGACAGAATCTGCAGACCGTGTACACTGCTTATACACACACGCGTAGCAGAGGCGATCCGTTCGGATGACTATGCCCACAAAAGCGTATCGCGTCGATTTGTAGCTGTGTTTTCTTATGTCTAGGTACAATAACTCATGAACTTGAGACCACCAAGCGAGCTGTCACGTTATTTTCTTTTTACAAGAATTATGTGACGGTAAAGAGGTTATAATATTTTTCTGATTGTTTCAAATAATTCATTTCAGTATTAGGTATTAGCCTCTATAAGCCTATAAAATAAAATTATAAAACATACGCAGAGAACGTAGGTACGCGATAATGTAGTCATAAGACGTGCCTCGCGCATTAATAACCACGAACCACATTAAAATCTAAGACCTAAAAAAAACCGTTATAGGGGTTGAAGGAGAGGTGCTTATTTTGCAAATTTTATCGTGTAATTTTCTTAAAAAGTTGAAAAAAGTCATCGGAGTTATTTGGAAACGATAATCCTATTAAATATTTGCCCATGGGAAGCTATCCTAAGTATTTGACACAGTTAAAAATGTTATACGAATACAAGTTTAAAACTATATCGTTAATTAAACCATCGCTGTCATGGACTTATTTACGCTTTAAGGGAACACATCAGTTAAGTTAATGTTATGCGTATTTCGATGTTATCGACAACAAACAGTTAATATGTGGTGTTCGATTTTTTCTTAAGTCTGTTATAAACATAATATTATAATATATAGGTATGTGAGTAATTATCGTGAAATGAAAATATTTGTTTACCAACTCACGACACGCAAAACTGGTAAATCATCGTGAAAACCGGATATTTGAATGTACGAGAAAAATATTGTTTTAATGATTTGGCGAACGATTTCTTTGGAAATGTATGTCGATTAATAAACGTTACACGGGCCACGGAGTACACGATCGGGCGGAAAAATATTAATATTTAAATGTGTACAAAAAATGATTGACGACAACGTGCGATTTATCGAAAATTCAAGCGTTCAATAATTTATTGATTTGTTATGGAATGTAGTCATCTGAAATCTTCAACGAAATACCGCGATATTAAATACCCTCCCCCCCCCGGCTGAAAGTACACCGACGAATCGCATAACCTCCCGAATCCTACGGTTAATTAGAACATGCGTAATTGACGCGGTAAAAACATTGACGACGAGTAAGTAAGTACCTTGGCGCCGATCTGGTTGCCGCACTGTCCGGCCTGCAAATGTACGATTTCCCTCATGGCGCTGCTGCTGGTCGAGCGAAATGCTGTTCGACGGCGGGGGCGGGAGAATGTGGACGTCTGTCGCGCAGTTGTCGTCGCAAAACGTTCTTCTGGTTCGGGCCCGTAGAGTGCACGCTGCGTGTTTGCCGCCGACCGGTGGTGTTCCTTTGGACTTGCAGCGAGACGAGAAGCGCACCGAAGAATGGATCCTGCGACCGCGTAACGTTACTCGTCAGGTTAGACGGCGGGCGCTTATGCGGTTTCCCCTACTACCGCGCGCGCTACACGCACGTACCCTACTCGCCACGCGGTGGTAACACTATACGCACCGATCGCCGTTTTGTACACGCGATACGTTTACGCGCACCAACTGCATTCGCCGCCGCAACGACTTCGTTGCGAAAGAGTTAGGTGCATGGCGCCCGTTCCGACGTGTACGGACGTAGGTATATACCATACCGCGTATCCGGTCGGGGACACGTGGTCACCGCGAATTTTCACCTACGGTTTGCACGCGCTCGGTTCGGAAATCACCGAGCCGACGTGCCATATTGCCAGGTACGAAGTATAAATGTACCCGACCGTACACGGTAATTGACGACCGTTATCAGTTCGAATGTTCATTCTGCGTGCGATTACCACCATACATTTGTTGGCGGTACAAATTTTACTGGATAAATAAGACCAAGCGTAACAGTCAATGGACTCGTTCAATTACACAGTTCAATTGATTTTACCAATGTTGACGTACAGTCATTACAGGGGCGGCTCCAGAGGGGAGGGCCCTAGGGGCTGCGGCCCTCTCCCAAGCCCGTACCGTATTTATAAAAAAATTTTATATTGTTAACAAAAAAATGCATATTATAATATGTACTATCATACGACATACACAAGTATGTAGATAGAGCCATGAGGTATGACGGTTGAAAGGAGTTTCTCCACAGTTCGGAGACTAAAAACATGACTTCGTTCAATGATGACAGAAGATAGACTATCAGCATTATGTCTAATTAACGTATATCATAAACTAGATATTCTAGATCAAATAGATCATATTATTGATATTTTTGCCAATTTTAAAGATAGATGACTTGAATTTGTGTTGTAAAAATTATTGTTTTCTTTTTGTTATAAGGTTTTGTAAAATTATAACTTGGCCCCCTTCTAACCAAGGCTCTGGAGCCGCCCCTAAGTCATTAGTGTTGTTTACGTGCATTACACCGTTCGTCTGAACTTACCGAAGTAAACCTACTAATTGCTATTTATGCATCTTTATTGGCCGAACGCATAAAACGAAAAGTAGATTGCTTTTTATTCAAAACTATAGTACTATTAAAGATAAACTAAGAATGATATTTGCGCGTTAGTTAAGCACCGGAACACGGAAATCAATGGTGATCAATAATGTAATCTACTAAATTTGCACAAAAAGGTAGTTCAATACAATATTGGCGCAAATAGGTTTAAAATATTGGGGAGGAGGCTGAAGCCATACAAATAAATTTATTCAATGTGAGCCATGGGGGGCTTCGCCCCCATATCCCCCATTACCGCAGCCATAGAACAATAATTATTAATTGAAATAAAAACAATCAAAAATTATTATTACCATACTATATTATTAAAAATGATGTACCTACTTCTATGTAGTATGTTTTACATAAAATATGACATAACACCACCGCAATATTCCACCGTTGTCCGTCACATTTATTAGATAACAATATTATTATTAATTATGTAGAATCTAGGAATTACAAAATAAACTAAAATAATAATATTTTATATTTATACAATTTACTTTTGAATAATTCTCTGCGTCATATATTCATATTATTTAGTATATATCTCACTATCCCATGCTTAAATTATCATTAAATTTGAAATAATCAAAAAAAAATTGGGGGGGCTATAATTCCCTTGGGGGAGCTAATCCCCCTATGTCCCTCCTAGTTGCGCCAATGCAACGCGAATTTTTCTATTAGCTAACGAGATAAGATGTAAACTGTGAATTATCTTCATATGGGCGAAAAATAGTAGGAAGACTTATAAAGTTATGAAAATTAAGAAAACTATAAAAACAATTATGACCTTGATGAAACATAAAACTTACATTTCTAATATTACTATTTATTATATTATTTTTCAAAGCCTCGTGATCACCCTTTTAAAATAAAGTTGAAAATACAGCAAATTATTAATATAGTAACTTCAAGGTCAGCGGCTAAATTTGTAATTGACTAATTGACTAATTGACTAATTTGTAATGATGTTGATTTTTTTTTTATGTCTCGTGATTGTATTAGAATGAAAGCTTTGTCTTTATTTTCAAGTTAAAAACATTATTATTATTATTATTATATATTTTTTTTTCTCATATTACACAATTTGAATATCATACCATTTAATTTTAACCAAAACTTATATTGTACCTGTATAATTATTATTTTATTATGTTTTTGGATGTCTAGATTACTTTATATCTTCTTTGTTAAAGGGCTTGTCCCGTAAAAATGTTAATAAATAAATAAATAAATAAACTTCAAAATATTATAAGATTTATTATATTATAGTCTATTTATTAAGAGTTAAATATTTTATTACATATCATACATTTTCAAAGATAGTTAATCGCTGAAATCAGCCTAGACATCATCCTTCTAATTCCGTATAAGATTTCAACATTTTTAGTTTTTTTTTAACTACATTAAGGCTCCCAAAATGACTTTATTATTTTCCGTTTTGTTTACAAAAATACGAAAATATCTTAAATAAAAAGGTCTCATACATGATATCAACAAGGAAGAAGAATAGGATGGAGAAATAACTTTATATTTTAAAAATTAATTGGAAATCGATTAAAATTATTACATCAAAGAATAAAATCGAAGAAGATATCTTACTTGATTTTTCACAAAAAAATGAATCCGAATGAAAATTAAAAGTGAGTTTGAACCAAACGGATACAAAAAACCTCGAAGTCCTTCTGAAATGAGGGAAGCCTTACGATTACGAAGAGGGTTGTAACATAGCTCATCAAATTTTAAACTAAATTACAAATATAAACATTTTATCAATGATTTTTTATAACTCAAAAATAACAGACATCAAATAAAGAATTTCTTTTTCAAGTAACTATAAATATTTTAATTATTTTTTTAACAATTTTAAATGTCGAAGATTTAAATTTTTTTCATAACTATGTTTGTATTGAATTCATTATACAACGATAATACATCCTGCAATATTACATTCATTTTTTAATTTGATGTACGTTTTGTCATTTTTTTAATTTTCGTATAGTGTTATCAATCGGTTTATGTTATAAGTTTGGTCCAGTACCAAAGTGATTAGATTAAGTGACAATCACTGCACTCGGATAATGAAAGAAGATCTAATATTTTTTTTAAGAATTATTTACTAAATGGTTGGATTTGTTATGTTCACACTCTATAATGTAAACCTGAATGAAATTGCAACCAAGAATTTTTTCATGTCCAGATTTCACGATAAAATATTATGTAGCTGTGTACGAACGTTATTCGTGTAACTCTTTTAGCATTGGGACTGGAATATCGCATTAGTTACGACCACGGTAAATTATAATCTACCGTGGCCCCGAATCTCGTGTACATAGTTTATCGTGATGATGTTAAAACGGACGAAAATAATGTTCTACTACACGTCGTACACAGTAGTGGCTAGTGTCGCCATCGTCGGTCACCTCAATGGGTTCCATCGACGACAACAAAAACTACATAATCAGAACTGCAAAAGAGGCGTTACGATCCACCGTGTGAACAGGCTTACAAAAATAAATAACTAAGCCGCCTCGGGTTTTGATTTCATTGTTCACTGAAACATGAAACGTGCGTCATAGACTGTATATAAAAGAAAAATGTAAAAATTATTATACCACGCGAAGGTCCTCGATGTATAACATAACATATACAATTTATAGATCGAAGCGCTCTGCGAGGTGACGTGTAAGTATACACGTATACACATTCACACACACACACACACACACACTAACTCTAGAACACGACTTAAAATAAAATAAACTGACGGAAATAATAGTATATATCTGGTTGTTACTTTTATACCAATAATAATTTTTTATGCTGGTTCTTATTGTAGTTTTTGCACGAGTGAATACCACACCGAAATCGTATACGACATTTCAACGTGTATTTAAAAATAAATGAGTTAAAATTCCACGGGTTCTGTAGTTAAACGGAGAACTTTATCGTAACACACAACACAATAATACATGCCTATCTACCGATTCGAAGGGTTCTGCCACCAAAGTGTGGTCGCATTCCGAAGGTTGTGGCTGAAAAAAATATTTGTTACCCAGCGATACAGAACGTCGTTATTGTGACCGGATGATTAATGTATATTTATGTTACGAAATGAGAAATTGTCAAATAAAAAAACAACGAGGAAGCTGTCATGGAATCATTCGACCAAACTATATCCTGTTTCGGGAGGAAAATATATATAAATACAGAATAATGACTAAGCATTTATATGATGCACAAATATCTATACATATATATTATAATGTGATACCAAAGTATTCATGTACGAAGACGGGTGGACTTATGTAAAATATAACCATTGCACTACTTGTCCACTCGACCGACTGTAAAGGGAAAAGCATTTACCGTCTAGATTTTTTATCGGTGATTTAATTATAATACATTTACAAAAATAAACCCATGTAAACAGCGATTTCCATAACACACTGCGCGCGCGAGAGATATCCCATAAAAACGGTTTAATTAATTACATTATATTATAATACCACGTTTTCTCCGTTCCGTCATGGTGAAAACGTGTATTATACATATGAGAGCCGCCAACTTACGGCAACACTTATCTTCTAAGAGGATATCGGCGTAAGATATTTTGTTGTATTCTTCTATCGACACTATAATTATGGCAAAACCACTCGCTGAATTTCTCATTTCCACGCTTCAGCTCGAATCGAGTGAACAACACTTTATTATAAAGTGTAAGTATAGTTAATCCAGTGAAGTAGGTTTTATCTATATTCAAATTATAAAAAAATAATGATACTAGTGTTGATTGATATTTTTTACCAAAATCAATCCACGCCACGGAGCGCACTATAAGATTAACATTACATATGGGTTACATGTTTACACCTAATCTGAAGCTGTTTGGCGTGGTTAAATAATGATGAGAAAAGTGCGGTTTTACCACGGG